ACCACATATATACATAATTGGGTACAGTCCACTAATTATTTTCCCATAGGCGACAATGTTAACGTTTCTTCACATAGCAATGTCCCTAATTTTCGTTCAGCAGTGAGTGACCCCTCAAATCAATGCACATCAAGTTGTCTTTCCTTGGTTAAAATCTCGAGGTGGCATGTCAGATTCGTTTTTCGGCAAAATGCGTCTGTCTGCGTTAACCCCTGAAAATTAATGTGAAAGTAGGGGAAGTAAGACTTCCCACTGGTGTTATAATACATAAAATAAGTTTGCTGATCTCCTTGATGAATGACATCTGCCAAGCTTTTTTGCAAGGGAACATACTCCTTATCAACAAGTATGTTTTTTTGTTTGTATGTTGTTTAACGTCCCTCTCGAGAATTTTTCACTCATATGGAGACGCCCCCACTTGCCGGTGGAGAGCTGCAAATTTTGTCCTATACTCGGCACTTACGGCCATTGAGCAATGAGGGATCTTTTTCGTGCCAGCACCTACTGCGACACGGGACCTCGGTTTATACGGTCTCATCCGAAGGACCGGTCTCCACGTCCCACAGTGGGATTCGAACCCGCGACGTAAGGATCAACTCTTTACTTCACGGCTCTAGAGCAGACGTTCTAACCACTGCGCCACGCGGGCGACTCAACAAGTACGAGGCTCCATTAAATACATTATCACAGTCGTTTTTTTAAATTCAGGTCTGCAAATTAAGGAACTTGTAATTATACCCCCGCTCCGAAGAAGAGGGGGTATACTGTTTTACCTTTGTGTGTCTGTCTGTGTGTGTGTCTAGCTGCCTGTCTGTCCGTAACAAATTTTTCGTCACAGTTTTCCCAGCAGCTACTAATCGCAGATGCTTGAAAAAGGTTCCGCCCGTGCATTTTAGGTCGAACGGCGGCGCCACTGTTTTATAAGTGGTTACGGAAACGCTTTGTCTTGATGACGCTTGAATGTTTTCATTTGAAAGATTTCATTACAACGAAGTATGCCACAGTATTGTTGCGTTCCTGCTGTAAAAATACGGGTGGACATCATTTTCCATCAGATACCACACTAATTTTGAAATGGCGAGTTGCCATTAAACGACATTGTGTGTTACGCCCACTTTCTCGCCATTGATTACAAGACAACGCTATTAGGTTAGTCATGATATTAATTATATGTTTATAGATGTTTTTTGTTCAAATTTCATTTATGTTTTGTATTTCCATGATTGTTATTTTTCAACAAAGCAAATGCATTTCTGTTTGTGTTGCTTTGTGGTTTGTTTTCCATTTCCCAGGTACGTCGTGTAAAAACAGGCATTCAAGTAAGGATGATGAAGTTGAAGCGGATAAAATTATTTAGGAGTATTTTAGATCCATTGTATATGATATATATATTGATATATATATTTTCATAAGCTTGATAATTATTTTTATAATAAACATGATAACTCAATATAATAATTTATATTAAAGACATTATTAATGATATTTTCTTCTAATTTTGTTTTTGGGTGGTTATTGATGACAACATCCAAGACCATACTATATAGATATTCAATTACATGTATATTAAAATTGCATTCAAAATCTCAAACTATTTCCATCTTTTAAATTAATTAATTCTATCTCTTTTTTTAATAAGGTGACAGATCAAGACTAAAGGAAGATGCTGTTCCTTCAATTTTTACATTTAATGCAAGAGAAAAACTATTTAAGAAAAGACACATACAGCCAGAAATTCAATTCCAGGCGTTTGTCAGCAGGAAATAGAGGTTGAAAATGAACTAGAACTTCTTGTTGACTGTGATGAATGTCAAACTCGAGTACCTGCACTGCAACACCAAGGTATACAGTGTGAAATTCCAACATTCGGAAAATTATCTGTTGAAAGTATGATGAATAATGATAAAGTCATTAAATACTACACTGGGTTTCAAGATTACAACCACTTTATGATGCTTTTTTACTGCCTCGGACCTAGTGCATATGAGCTCACATACCAGTGTTCATTACTTCACCCAAAAGACCAATTGTTCATAACTCTTATCAAACTTCGACAAGACAAAGAAGATGTTGAATTTTCATTGCTTTTTAATGTGTCAGAGTCCACAGTATCAAGAAAAATTATGACCTGGATAAACTTTATGTATTTTCAATTAAAAGAGCTAAATATTTGGCCATCTCCAGCAGTCGTCCATGAACACATGCCTCAAGACTTTAAATCAAAATTAATTCCCTAACACCAGAGTTATACTAGATGCCACTGAGGTACCCATTGAACGCTCCCATGTTAATTGTCAGATGGTGACATGGTCAAATTATAAACATAAAAATACACTCAAGACGATGATAGGCTGCAGTCCAAAGGGTGCAATAACTTTTATTTCAGATTCTTATGGTGGCTCTGCTTCTGACAGGCAGATTATTGAAAATCTTGTCTTTTAGAACACATATTAAAGCTTTTTGAAAAGGGTGATTCCATCATGGCCGATAGAGGCATAATGTTTCATGATTTATTTGCAAACCAAGACGTTCACATTAATACTCCAACACTGTTGAAGTGAAAATCCCAATTAGATCCAGGTGAAGTGATGCATGATAGACGAGTGGCTACAAAAAAAATTCATATTGAGAGAGTTATCGGGTTGTCAAAACGTTTCAAAAAATTGAAGCATGCATGGGATTTCTAATAGTAAACTTCAGTTAGGGTCTCGAATCATATTTGTTTGTTTTGCCATATCAAACTTGAGGAGAAATATTGTTCCAAAGAAAGAATAAGAATAAGTTTGTATTCAACATGACCTTAAGTTTTTTTTTTTTTAAATCTGTTGCTCATATATACTGATAATTTGTGGATAAAGTTCGATTTTACCAGATAGAGATCAAATAGTGTCAAGATAAAATGCTTTTTACGATTCAAGTTTTTGCAGTATTCATTATATGTATAAAAATTATTCATGTTCTTAAGGAAACGCTAAACACTGCACACTGAAGAGTTCCAATTCCACTGTAGTGTTATGCAGTTAGAGTGATCTGTCCTATGGTGTAAGTACTAAGTAAACATGGAATAAATTGAATCTACAGTAATTGACTCAATTTAAAAATAGATTTAAAACTTAATAGTATTCTTCACCTTATATTAGACCAAAATTAAGTAATTGAAAATCAATTATTTGCATGTATTTTCTCAGAGAAAGTAATCAACATTGATATCTGTTCCCAAATACTTCACTGAAAACATTTATTCTGGGGAAATATGGCAGGTATCCTATGTTGAAAATGAACTAGAAAATCTCGGTATCTACACTTTCGTATCATATGATTTTAATAGAATCATTCATTACAACGAGTGTGGGATAGTGAAATTCCACCAAGGGGACAAGATTCACGGTCTAGGACGAGGCTTTGCCGAGTCCTAGACCGTGAATCTTGGCCCCGAGGTGGAATTTCACTATTCCCACACGAGTATGTAATGAATGATTATTTTTCTCGCATTATTTTATCCAAAATAACGGCCTGTCAATGACGTCGCTATGATAGGGCTAAAAATATATTCTTTTAATTTTCCATCTAATTAAAAATCTAAATACACCATCAGAGAGAGCGTACCTGAAATGGTTTACACGCAGTGTAAACTGATAAAATGAATTTCAGTCCATGTAAATTAATTAGATAGATAAAAACTGGGAATAAAAAAACTTATCTATCCGAAAGCGTACACATTCATTCAAGAAGACCCTTCCGCGATCTAAAAATAGTGCCATTTAAAAAGTGAAAATACGACAATATTTTGAATGAAAATAAGTTTATCTTAATAAGTCAAATGACAACATTTTAAGTATATGTAATATTTTTTAACATTGTTACAATTTCTTTATATAAAGACGGAATGTTTACGTTATCGTTCGCGGCGTAGTAATACACAGTGTAAGACAGAAAAATCTCACACTGCTGTCTCACACCGGACAAGTCAATCTCACACCGGTGATTATGCGAGAATCTCCAATCCCACCCCCACCCCCTTTAAAAAAAGATTAGAAGTGTTTAGGGCTTCCCTAATAAGAAAAAAAGAAATCATGTAAAATCCATGCAAAAGTATATATTTTTTGCATAAGTATCAACTGATTATAAATTGCAGTACATGCTGTAAAATACTGTTGTACAGTTGAAAAATATACAATAATGACTAGGTTGCACTTAATATTTTTTAAATAATACATGCAGTTCTGTGTAACACTGAAAAAAATTTCGAGGAGTGTAAATTTTCAATGTTACCCTCAACTTTTATACAATACATATCACAATAAACCATGGCACATAAATTCTGCACAGTCAACATTTTTTTGAATATCAAGCAATGTTGACTGTTGCTTAGCTGGAGGATGTGGTTTCATCATTCAATTAGTTCACATGAAACTATAATATCAAGGAATAATGCATTTCATATTTAGCAAATTGTAACACTTCAGTATTTGAGAGTTGTGAAATGTCAGTATATATTTTTTTCTTTTTTGGTTTTTAAGACAAGGTAAAATACAGACTGATATTAATCACACACACACACACACACACACACACACATATATATATATATATATATATATATATATATATATATATATATATATATATATATATAACATTTTATGACATGTACCCCTAGATAAAATAAATATTTCCAAATGCAATATACATGTATTGAGACTGTTTATTACTGATTATTTTCAATAAGTATCTTGACTATTGACCACAATGATTGCCAAACGTCTAATAAAAGTTAGCTCGGTGTAATGTAATACAAATAACATTTCCTTTTAAAACAGTGATGCAACATAACTTCTGTAAAACTTTGTGTAAAAAGTTTCAAGCTTAGGAAGGAGACAAGTGTTACAGTATTCTTTGTCAAAAGAGATTTTCTGTACAAACAAATCACCTAAGGTGTAAACAACAAAGTAGCACAGAGACTTTTTAGTTACATAAAGCTGGCCTTGTATTTGGTCATATTATTTGCTTGAAGGCTTCAAAATAATATTGCCCTCTTTATCATATCTCAAAAATTTGAAATTTTTCACTGGTTTCACAAGATCATTTCTGCCATTAAATGTACATTTAACTTCTACAATACTACTGTCATCAACAACAGCATCAGGAGAAGCACCTAAATAAGGCCTATCTAAACAAAAAAAAAAAAAAACACATTTCTTAGCATTTACGTTAAATTTGCTGTTGAATATTTTCAGAGCTTTTGCCTTATAATTTTTTCCATGTCGCAGAGCTCCACTGTTGATTTTAACATCAGACAATAATGCAGCACACAGCTTCTTTGTATTTCTACAAAAAGTGGCCTTGCATATTTCCCCAAACTTTGATGCCGTTAGACACCACTTCTTTTCGATGAACCAAATCTGACTTGCACTCTGCTGTCTTGTGGACTCTTCAAATCTTACTACATCAGATTCTGTAACCTATGCATGTGTAAAATTAGCATTAAATTTTAAACAAATGAAAATCATAAGAGTTAGATTTATTTAACAAAATCCGTTACACGTACATGGAATTGTCCACCCAGTGCTCAGTAAAAGGCATCTGACAATAGTCGTGGTCTTTGACTGCAGCCTAGAAAGGAAATTTTTTTGTCATTTCATTTACTAGTACATTGTTAAGAATGCTACTTTTCAGGAATAATTTTTTTTTTATTTCTTTAACATATACAGTTGAACTTCGGAATCTCGAACACTGATATCTCGAATACCATGGATATGTCAAAGTGATTTGGAAGTCCCAATCGCTTATTTTTTTTAAAGTATTTTACCCTCGATATCTCTAAGTTTTTTCTTGGTCCCATCGAGTTCAAGATAATGAGGTTTCACTGTATATACCTGAATATTTGCCTTCCCATACATGTATCGGAATGAGATATCATTTGAGAACTAGCTGCAATAATTGGTAACTATAGATTGTACAAAGTCGTTGTATCCAGAACATTTTTTTCTTTTCTCAGGCCTTGGGTCACTGAGGAAGTCTGCAGCTAACTTTCTCTTGGTTGGCAGCTTTTCAGCTTTGACTGGAGATCCTTGAAAGCACACAACAAATGAAACCCATAAAACATTAAGTCATTTTCTGTAGTTATAAATGCATTTTTGTATATGTATTAAATTATTTAGAGGAACAATGAATTACCATTATAGGAGGATTTTGGTTTTGTACACATCATTAATGTATCAGTGCAAGACTTCCCCAGTTTGAGTTCTGATTCTGCAAACTCTTTTATCATCAGGAGATCTGCAGCAATGTGTTTGCAGCTTCCATGAGGTCTCTTCCCTGCTGGACACTCACAGTGTGTGTTTAAAGGATCTCCAGACTTTTTATCTAATCTTATCTTGTATATATATGATACCTGTAGCAATTAACATTATTATGAAATGAACAACATCAAGAGCACCAATGCTCACTAACTTTGTGATGTTTTAAAATAATTTCAGTTGTAAACTTGATTAAAAAAAACAAACCTTTTTCTTCATTGCTGCTCCGACAATGCCACTTAGGTAGATGTCACCCCGAATGAATATCGAGCACGCTAAAACTCTGTCACTTTCATACATAAGTTGTCCTTTTGTCACAGACTTTAAATCATTTCTTGATTGCCTGTCATCTGAATGAAAGTAATAATGTACATATATTTTAAGATAAATGATACTTCTGATGATCATGAACTCCAGTGTATCACCTAACAGTTTTAATTTCAGGTGATTAAGGGGGAAAAATTCATTATTAAATTTTTCTTATTCATTTTTATTTTAAATGAACATGTATACAGATTTTATCACATGTTTACTCCTTTATTTAGTGGATATAGCTCATAAGATATCGTTTTAAAATGTCAACAGTTGTGACATCACAATATTTTGTTTTTGTATAAAAGTGATAAGTCAAATGAAGTGAATTCACATGTAAAAACAGTGTAGAACATGTTATATCCATGTGTAAAACATGTCATGGTTGTGTGTAAAACATATTATAAAAAGAATCTCCTATTTCTTTGTGGTCAGATATCATTTTTATTTAGTTAACGAGGTTGGATCCTGATATTTAACGTCTTAAACTTTTTTTGTCAAGTATATTTTAAGTTTCTACACACATAGCTAAATTAAAAATCAAAGCAAAAAATGGGGGTCAATATGCTTCTTTTGGCGCTACAGTACATTTAATATGACCTTTTTGCACTGAAATTTGTGTCTTAATTAAAAATCACATCTTCGACGTTTTTTTTCAATGTTTTTATCCAAATTAAATCATGGGGCAAAATAAACTATTAGTCTATTTAAAAAAAGACACATTAAAATTGTGACTAAGAAAAAGTTTCAAATTCCTTCGCATAATCAATTATTTGACCTTTCTGCACTCACAAAATGTGATTTTTCTGGCATTAAAAATTTAACAAGCAAGAAAATTATTTTAAAGTCTTAAACTTTTGCTGAATTTAAGCAGATTGATCAAAGTTATATTATATATTAAGAAAAGAAAAACAAAAGTGGGGGTCTATGATATAAATTTTTAGATATTACTAAAAAAGTGTTAATATTATGTTAAAACTGGCTCAATTTTTTCCTGGACTTTCAGAATATATATACTATATTTGTCACAATATAATGAAAGAATTCAAAAGAAATAATTTGATAGATATTTCAGAACCAGCATAAAACATTTCACCGCAAAAACAGCTCTGTTTGTAACCAGCATGGAAAAATAGGAATCTAAACTTAACAGTACTGTATATATTTCAAAAGGAAAAAATTGATCATTTTCTTCTAAAAAAAAACCTTCCGCCACAAAATATAGTTCCTGACTTGATCCTAATTGAATGGAATTTAATCGCGTTTTTTTTTTCATTGGATGTAGTTTAATTTCCATTTTAGAATCCAGATTTAATGTTAGAACTCAAAAATGATACAGAATTTTAGAAATAAAGGTCCGGACCAAAATCTGCTCAAAAGCTCAGGATCGAACCTCCTTAAGTGTTTTCTATCCCTCACCAAGGCTCGAAGATAGAAAACGCACAACTGAGTTTCTCGCTGGATAAAAATCATATCCAAACACAAACCATGGGAGATCCTATATGCATGCTAAACTTATTTTACCTGCCATTCTGTAAATAAAGTACGCCTCTATCTGCTCCTTGGATAACTTTGGTAGGATGACATGGTGATCTTTTTGTAGCTGTTTAAAAGCAGATGTGGGCCAGTCTATCACAGAAAGTTCAGGTAGTGTTATGGAAGCTGGGGTGAAATTGTCGTTTCTGATGTATGCTTTTAATCTAACAGTATAAAATGAATTTAAAATAACTCTCTCTCTCTTTCTAAATATATATATATATAGAGAGAGAGAGAGCAATAGTGCTTAAAATCATTGTTGAGGTACATTTTTATACTCAGTTGCATGTTACATTTTATCGCGATAGGGTCTCCTTATTTTGTCTTCTACACATGTAATATTCGTATTCGTTGTTTAATATACTGCAACAAAAATAAACTACTATATGATAAATGAAACTACCTATCAATAAGCTGTGTCTTTCGCCCAGTTGTGCGGGCTCCGCGATTGGCCAACTCTTTCTTCAACCGTGGTACCGGCCAATCTATAATAGCGTTTGTGGAGTCCATGTTGTTTTTATTAGTTACAAGCGCTTTCAAGATTCAAGCGTCCCGCGTTCCACTTATAAAACAGCAGCGCCGCCTAACGTTTAATGACGTGAATGAAAGCTATTACAGCACACACTTTGTTGAGGCATGCCATATGGTGGGATTCATTTTTGTACGAATCCGATGTCAACTTCCTGTTTATCCGTGCATCTGTCCGTGCCATACATAACAAATTTTGGTCGCAGTTTTCTCAGCATCTACTGATTGCAGATGCTTGAAATTTTAGCACAATCTTTGTTTATGCATGCCAAAGGAAGGGAATAATTTTTGTACGAATCCGATGTCAACTTCTTGTTAATCCGTGCGTCTGTCCGTACCATACATAGCAAATTTTGGTCGCAGTTTTCTCTGCAAGTACTCTTTGTTTAGGCCTGCAGTATGGTGGGATTCATATTTGTATGAATCTGATGTCAACTTCTTGTTCATCTTTGTGTCTGTCCATAACTGAACCTGTGTACGTTCACATCAGATTGTATAATCACATCAAAGCGGGGGTATTACTAGTAAGCATTGGTTCACAGACTTTTTGTTTTTTCTACACTACTTTCTTCCCTACCGATTTTAAAAATAATTAGAGGTATGTACCCAATTATAATAGAGTTTCTGTATGCAATCTAACAATGGGTTTATTAAATTTACAGCAAAATACAGTTTAAGCAAATATTTGTTTAATGCATGTAAAATTTTATTTTGCAGGCCTGAAAAAAATGCCAAGTATGAGATCATTCATTTCAATATATTGAGTAAAAAGACCTTTTACACCATAGATCATGTACCTGGCTTGGAACTTTTTGAATTAAGTACATCCTTTAAAATTCTCGGATGTAAACGTTCAATAACATTTAGTTTTTCATAGCCCCTTATTTCAGACCCATATGATAAAACTGGTACTACATGTAACTTTATCAAAAAGATCAACCGTCTATGAAAAGGGCATCAATTACTTCTCGCGTTTTAGCTCACCTGAGCTGAAAACTCAAGTGAATTTTTCTGGTCAAGTTTTTTTCCGTAGTCCATCTGCACATTTTTCACATTTTCGACTTCGTTTACAGAACAACTTGACCAGGTTCAACCAAACTTACCCCAAAGCAAACTTGGTTTAAGAAGATTCAAGTTTGTTCAAATGAAGAGTCATATCCTGTTTCAAAGATAGATAATTAAAAATAAGCGAAAAATTAATGGAACCTTTTAAAAAAAATTACCAGGCCTAAAAATTGAAACTCATATAAAACCTCTTTACATAGTGTAGATTTAAATCATGACCCCAGGGGTTGAGTGGGACCCGAATGGGGGTTCAAATGTTACACAGGAAAAGATAGGAAAAAATCTTTATTTTCTCAAAAACTGCAAAGTCACGTTAAGTCATATGAATATGAATATGGAAGCATCCTCAGGTAGGGCAAATTTAAGTTTGTTCAAATCATGACCGAGGGGGGAGCTTGGGGCCACACTGCGCTGTCACACTTTAACATAAAATTTGTTAGAAAGAAAAATCTTTAAAATCTGTTTTCTCAAGGATAGCAAAGCTATGTCTAATCATATTGAGATGGAAGTTTCGTGATGAAGTGTAGATTCAAGTTCGTTCAAATCATGAACCCGAGAGGTAGGGTGTGGTTACAACTATATAAATTATGACGCTTTGGGGTAGGGTGAGGTCACAATAGGGATCAAAACTTTGCATAATATATAATATATAAAAATGAAGAACAGCACGGCCATATTGATGCAGTGAGCGTTTTGGCTCATGGGTCTCTTGTTTTATTAATTTATTATTATTATTTGGGGGGGGGGGGTCTTTTTCGCCTGCCTTAAAATCGGGTAAAGCTTTTTCTCTTTTCCTCAATTTCACTCGGATATTGTTAATTCATACACTTCTTTTACTTGTGTTTATTCAAATATACTCTCTGTCTTTGATGTAGGAAAAATTTGTGACTATTTCCCTTGGATATTCGCTACATTCGTTCAATTTGCCCATCCTGTGTACTCTTTTGAAGTCGATAAGGTAGTCCAACTTGTTACTTTTTCGTATTTAGTCCTTACGCACTTGTTCCTAGTCCGAAATATCTGCCGTTTTCCAGGCTTTTTTTCACGATTTTGATATTTTACGTGCCTGGAAAACGTCAGAACCGGCGCCATTACGAAAACTGGGAATTCGCCGCCTCCAACCAGAAGCGGCATTCTCGGGTTGATTTTCGATATTTACAAATCGAATGAAATGTCAAACTCGCAATTTATCAATAGTACAATGCTTTTAGTACTCACCAACATCGTTTTCATGGTTTGTTTATAAAATACTAGATGAAATTGAATTTATACCACTACCGACAGAAAATATATTGTAGTTCTCTACTGACAGCCCACAGGCTTATAGCAGGAACAAATACTTTGTTCAAAATCCCGCATGAAATAGATTTACCTATGCAACCCTCCAACCCCCCGTTTTTTTGTTTTTGTTTTTTGTTTGTTTGTTGTTGTTTTTTGTGTGTGTTTGTTTTATTTTTTTTT